CAGTAAAGTGGAGAAAATGAAAAGTGAGTGTGACTTTTTTTATCCATACCAATTCTGCAAGCACATACAAACTCCATGTGGATGAACTTAAAAGGTTACTAAAAAATTAGTGTTTATTCTTCATTTATAAATGTCAACTACAGTGAATAAAGGCCAACTAATACATACCATGTTGCAGGACAAGTACCATGAATAGCAGGATTGCATATGATTCTTTAGTTTATACAAATACAAGAATATGCTCACTAAGAATACCTCTTCCGTCAGCCACTGTAACGTGTCCCAGTCAATCTCTTCACGGACAAAAGCACCTTCATATCTTGCTAAACCAATATTTCTCAGCCATTTAAGAACAGGAAAGGTGTCAACAGCTTTCTGTGGAGACAGAATAGAATCGAGGTCTTCTGAAAAATGAGATGCCCCACGGCCATTGGAAGAAACAACCTGTAGCCAAACTCAAAAGTAGAAATGTATTAGTCGTAAATTCATTACAGCCAGACCTGTTTGGTTCCAAACATCACAAACAAAAGACTATTACCAACGATCATCTGAAAGGACAGACATTTAAGAAATATAACATTTCTAAATTAAATAGATACTGCAAGAATTGCTCAGACTCTTTCTCTATTGATTCGGAACTGCTTGATATAGACAGTTCAAGCTATTACCACTATAAGATGCCACTCTCAGTTGATTGAAATCCTTATTCTAAAAAATTTTACTCGTTGAATTGTGACCTGTTGATAAGGTATTTATACATAGTAAAAACCAACTTGAGGTAGCTGTATGGTAACATAAGATAAAATGGTTTATAAGTATAACATAACATACATATTCTATAACATCCCCCTGCCCCTTTCTCAATGCTGAGATCTAAGCATGGGAGAATGCAAAGGTTGACTTGTAATAACTGAAAATATTCCAAGTAAGACCTTTTGTAAAGAAATATCTTAAAATAAGATATTATGGATGCAAATATGGAAAGCGCAGCAAGAACAGGAAATTGACGTTCAATTAAATATGTAATCCTAATTAGTAGTAAATTTCTAATAATTAGAATTTTAATTAGTATTAAATTTTTAAATAATATATATATTCTCCATTATTATTTGATTTCTAAATAGTGTAGGATTTTTAATAATTTAGTAAAATATTCCTAATTAGATTTATATTCTAAATTATCTTAACATTTTTAAATAACAGTTGTAATTTTTGTATTAAGAAGAATGCTTGCTATTAATAAAATAAGTCATAATATTATTTTAAACTACGAAATTTGAACTTTCTCTAACAAGATTCAAGATAGCAACTCCTTTTGATGAGCTGTAATTTATTTTCACAAAAATAGGCTACTCAAAGAATTGCAGCAAGAAAAAGTAGATTTTAGAATTGGCAATTCCCAAAAATCGCCGAGTGACAAAATTATGATCTTGAGAATATAATAAATTGATATCAGAATCTAACACAATCGGCAATTCTGCAACAATTGAAGATTTGAGATTGATGGTAAAGGAAGCTCTTGCCACAAAAGAAACACGGACATCAGAAATCGAAAGATGCTTAGGCAGTCAGCTGCAACAATTATCCTTGCAATTCAATGAGAAGTATTCCACAATGGGCTAGAACATGCAGACCATTTCGAAAGTAACTGCCAGTAGTCATAACCCATGAAAACAACCGCCTCAAGAGTTTCACTCGGGAAGTTGTTCGCAAGGCACAAACCAATACCTAGGTAATGTGGTTGTTCCTCGCTACCTTCAACGGTTCTGAAGATCCTCTGATCTGGTTACATCAGCATGAGAAATTCTTTACCAGTCAACACACACCAAAAGGAGATAAAGTGGGATTAACTGCCTTTCACATGCTCGGTGAAGCACAATTTTAGTATCATTAATTAGAATCCGAACAATCCACAATTAATTAGATTAGATTTAAGGAATACTGCTCGCTAAGGTTTGAACCGCCAGCCAGAAGCAACTCATTGGGGGCGTTGGTGAACTTGAAACAAACAGAGTTGGTTGAGAAATATCAGAGGCAGTTTCTAAAAAAATTGGCATAGACAAACAGATTTGTTCGAGTTGATCAACATATAAGTTTGTTCACAGCAGTTTTGATCGATTGTCTTCGCTTAGAGATCAAAATGCAATCACCTGCCACTCTTGTACATGCAATGAGCATGGCTAGAACTTTTGAAAGGAAACAACAGTTGTGGTTATGAGAGAACACAATTATAGTGATCATTCTCAGTTTGTGACCAAGTCCAACAATTCGGTTCAAAAAATACCAACTCCACATGGCAACAACATTATGACACAATGTAGTAATGTTTCATCTCCGTTTATAAAGAAATTAACAAAGATAGAGATGATAGAAAGGAGACTAAAAGAGTTATGTTATAACTGCGATGAACCATTTGTTTCGGGTCACCAATGTAAACAACGATTCTATCTCGATATTGAATGTGATACTAGACAACAACAAAAGACCAACGAGACAACTATATCCACATTTCAAGTTTGAGAACAAACTTGAAAACCAGGAAAAATAATGTTATGGATGCAAATATGGAAGGCGCAACAAGAACAGAAAATTGACATTCAATTAAATATGAAATTTTAATTAATATTTAATTTGTAGATAGTTGGAATTTTAATTAGTACTATATTTCTAAATAATATATATTTTCTATTTAATATTTGATTTCTAAATAGTGTAAGATTTCTAATATTTTAATAGAAAATTTCTAATTAGATTTAGATTCCAAATTAAATTAACATTTTTAAATAAGAATTGTAACCTCTATATAAAAGGGTATGCTTGTTATTAATAAACAAATCAGAATATTATTTTAAATTACGAGATTGAAGCTCTCTCTAATGAGATATAAGATAACAGTTTTATTTGATGAGTTGTAATTTATTTTCATAAAAACAAGTCGCTCAAAGAATCGCAGCAAGAAGAAACAGATTTTCGAACCGGAAATTCTAGAAAACTGCCCAGTGACAAGATTATGGGCTCGGGAACATAATATAAGATCTTCTATAAATATGTCCATTAATCAATCTTGACTAGGAATGACAAACACGAAATATCCAAATTGAACTTTTTCACAAGCAAACTGAATATCCTCTTCAATATGTTTAGAGAAGGCACATTGAACTGGATTAGAAGCCATGTAAGTAGCACTTACACTATCACATAGAGTTCTATTTGTCCTTCATAGAAAAAAGTAACTCATGAAGTAGGTTAGCAGTTCAACTTATATCAGTGATTGTACAGGCCACTGCACTTTACTCTTCTGCTGCACTAGAAATGACACAGTGGTTCATTTCTTAGCCCTCCAAGAGATCAAGTTAGAACAAAGCAAAAAGTAATAGCTAATGGTAGACCAACCAGTATCCAAACACCTACCTGGTCTATGTCAGAATAACCAGTGAGCATATATGAGAAATTGGAATACAACTGAAAACCATGGATAAGCTCCAGGAATATTAAGGAAGAATCCGCTTCACCACTTGAAGATGATCCTCCAAAGTGGATTTAACATATCAGTTTTCTATGTTTTAGTGAATTCAGATATAGATGGAAAAGTCAGATGTTTGATCATGAAATGTTGTTCAACATTCTTATGCGCTTTTTTGTTTAAAGAAGCAGCAAAGCATGTCAAGAAAAATGGTGGCCATGGACCTAAGAAATAACTGAGTCCACTTTTGTCCAAAGTAAGGCTTCTGAATTTTGATTGTTCTTTGTCTGCATGAGTAGTGATGATTAAAGAAGAGATACACTAGTATCATTGGTATGGTCAAGAACACCATATTCTAGAAGACTGGAATCAGTAAGGACTTTCAGATTAAGAAGATGGAGATCTTGAGGACCTCAGTAAAATAGTTTCTTATGGGAATTCCAAAAGAAGGAAACAAGCTTTTCATGGGGACCAAAGAGAGGAGAGGAGATGGAGTAGAAGACCCGGCAGTGAAACTCATTTTAGGAAGAGGAGCAAGGTTTAGCACCATGTAAATTTTCAGAATAGCTTCACTCAGAAATTGTTTCATTAAACAAAACATATTTATACATAGTGGACTCCACCTTGAGGTGGAAGCCTGTGTAAATGTTACATAAAATAGTTGTAAGAAATATAACAGTATATATATCCTATTAACAGACCAGAAAGGTGCTATTCGGGTTAAATATTAAAGATATGTTTACAACAAATGAACTATTTCATGGATTTCATGTAAAACATATACTAAATTATCAAGAGTATGAAAAATCATTAGAAATGTCTTTTTAAGTGGAGTTCAAATAATATATTTCAAATTTAACAAAAAATAATTAATATGTTTTAAACATGGCGTAACAACTTTCTGCCACCCTTTCTTTCGCTGCCCATCGCTACAACATTAAATATTCTGCCTTCAGTTTTATTGCTTTCTCGGCCAAACAAATACTATGCTCCGTTCCTTATTTCTTAATTCTCTATCTCAATTTCAGAAACAGAGCCTAACATTAACAGGAATACGTGACCCTAGCAAATAACTCGCTTAGAATACGAAAGGAAAACAAAGACACTCACTCACACTGGTTTTCACAACACTCGACAAGAAAAGAAAAAAAAAATCCTCTGCTAACCAAGGAAGAGGAATGAATTAACTTACTTGCTCGTTAGCTTGTTTCTCTTCTGCATCAAGACAATTATTGGTATGAATCTGCCTCTGCTCTTCGCATATAGCAGAAATATCGAGCCCACACAGCGGACACTGAATCAAACCTCCGTCGCGGAATTCACCCGCCCTTTCTTCCACCTCAGAACACAGCTTGAGCAACACGCCAAGCTCGGTATTTTCCTCCAACTCGCCATCCTCTCTCGACACCCCATTGGCTGCAAAATCGAACCCGGTATCCATCCTCGAGCCCATTAACCTAGCTTCACCCGAATTGCAGAGATAACCCTCGTTGACTTTCAACAAACCCTCTTCCTTATCATACTTGTTAATACTCTCTACTGACAAGGAATGTGACTCATGAACCTTATGGGTACAAGCGATGCTTGACTCTATAAAATCCAAGCTGAAATTTTCAGCATCCAAATCATCCAACCCAGGACTCTGCTTCCCGCAGTGGCTTTGATTCTCCAATGAGTCATGGATTTTGCTTTTCTGACTGAAAGCCGAGCCGGGATCCAGGTTTTCCTTTCCGGGATTGACAGAACGTTTGGGTTTCTTTAGTGGGGGTTGGGGGGTGCCATTGTTGGAAGGCCTGAGGGGTTTTCTCTGCGATGTCTGGGTGAAAGGAGCGATCTGGAAATCATCATCTTCATCGAATAAAATTGGCGATCCGAGAAAGGAAGGCTGAGACACGCTGATCTGGGGTTTTGATTTACGGAGAACCATTTCGTTTTGAATTCTTCTGGAGCAGTGGAAAATGGAGGGAATGGAGGATTTTACAGAGCCTCACTCAAATTTATAAATAATATGAAATTTATTTACAAATTCACACATATTTTAATTAAGACAACATAAAAATTGTATTAGAATTATTAAAAAAATTACATATAGATTTTCTTCGTGAAATTTAAACATTATATTCTAAATTTTATCAACATGTAAGGTTATTTTTTTCAATTTAATATCAACTCAATTTTTATAATTTTAAATAAAACTCTAATTTTCAAGTTAAATTAAATATATATTTTAAAATAAATCTTACAAAAATTTTAATATATTGCAAATATAGTCTAATTGGAGTTAATGAAAATTTAAGTTTTCGTCGCTTAGAAAAATTCTAACAAATAATATCATAATTTTTTTTGGTTATGGGTCTATGGGAAAAAAAATAAGTATAAAATAAGTAAATTATTTATATTAAATATAACTTTAATCACTTTTCTTTTATCTTCACCTTTCATTTTCATAGAAAAAATTATCAATTATGAGTTGTAAAAATGCAAATATATTCAAAATCCTTTAATTTGTGAAACATGGTTGAAAATGACAAATTCCCACCATAACCACCTCATTCAACTATGACTTAACTAAAGAGTCGTAATGAAAAAAAATATACGAAGTTCAAAGCAAAATCTTGTATGTACTTTTCAGTTTCTAAAGTAATTTTTACTAAATTATGACTTGTGAAGCTAAAAAAAGAAAAAGATTTGCTTACAATTGAGTACTTAAGCAATAACTAAACTAAATTGATATAAGTTTTAAATCTTAAGAGAGAATTTAAGATTTAAAATATGAAAGAATGGGAACGAATCAAGAAGTATGTTAACAAGCTCATGAAATTTTTTAATAAAATTAGATTATTCGATAAAGAATTCTAGATAATAGAATTGTTGAAAAAATTCTTGTAAGTTTGTTTAAAAAGTTTGAGTTAAAGTTTTCATCACTTGAATATTCCAAAGATCTCTAAAAAACTATAGCTGCAAAATTAATCAATGTTTTGCAAGCCATGGAGCAAAAAAGAGTAATGAGAGATAAAAAAAATAATAATGAAGGAATCCTTCATCACCAAAACATCAATAAATAGAAAATTTTCACCATGCATAATATGTAAGAAAGACAACTATGATGGAAAAAAATTGTTAGTATAAAGATAAACAACAATATTTTGATTGTAAAAAATTTAGACATATACAAAAAAAATTATAGGTTTAAAAATGAGCAAGCAAATTTTGATCAAGAAAAAGAATACCTTATTCAAAAATTAGAGAGGAGTGCTCTAAAAGAATTATTAATAAATTTTGGGGAGAAGTGTATCAATAATTGGAGGTCAATAAGAAGTGCATCAATAATTAAAGATTGATGATAAGTACATAAATAATTTGTAATTTGTGAGAAGTGTATCAACAATTAAAAAAAATGCATCAATAATTGAAGATTGATGATAAGTACATCAATAATTAGTGACAATAGAAGAGAAGTGTTTCTATAATATCCCGAGATCGAAATTTAGGCTCAGGATAACATAATTTAATTTTTAATAATAATAATAACAATAGTTAATTTTAATTTTTTGGTTTTTTTGAGAGATATGGATTTTGAATGAATTTGAAAATAATTTTAGAAAAAATGGCAAAGTTATAAATAAAAAGATTGTGTATTTGAAAGAAAAGTTTGAAAAAAATGGCCAAATCACAAAAAGAAGAAACACGGCCCTGTGGGATGACCGCATCAGCAGCACGACTAGTCAGAATGCATTGTGTGGCAGACATGCTGACACGAGCTCCACACAGGAGGATGCAAGTGATCCGCATGTCTAGGCGATCCAACAGCCTGTGCTCCCTCCCACGCGCACGAACTGTCTGGATTAACTTCTTGGATAAGCGTGATCGGACGGTCCACACGTATTCGATCGAACAGCCCAGATCTATTCCTCTATTAGGCGCGATCGGATGGCTGATGAGGCATTACACGAACCCAGATTGACAGCTCAAATCGAGAGAAGAGGA